TGTGTGTGTGTGTGTGTGTGTGTGTGTGTGTGTGTGTGTGTGTGTGTGTGTGTGTGTGTGTGTGTGTGTGTTAGTGTGTTAGTGTTTTAAAATCATTTGTATATCAGATGTTTTCTTTCTGTTCAGTTGTTTGTTTCAAATCATTTTTAAATATGTTGTTAGACATTTAAACACACACCAGTAATATCAAGAATCATGCAGTGTATTGTGCATCCCTACACAGCAGGCTATTTTTATAACAAATCCTTTTAACGTGGAACCCATTTTGACGCAAAATGAAAACTGTCTTCTCCTGATAGCTGTTTGTTTAGATTTGCCTTKGTACCTTGGTTCTTGTTGGATAAARACAAATCTCTGATTACACCTAAAACCCTGCATGATGATGTTGTTTTCAGTCGGAGCGGACGCTACGGTAGCCAGGATTTTTGGGACGCAAAGGATGGGTCTCCTTTTGATTCAGTGTCTCCATCATTGTCTCGGTCTCCAAGCCCTCCTTCATGTTGTGACCAAGACACCTATCCCCTCAGGCCTCGCAGGAGATCTTATTCTCCTCACAGAYGCCCAGGGGCCCACCACTACCCAGGTAGACAACAGAATAAAAGCCAGAAACAGTAAAATAAAAAGGAATTTTATTATTAATAATAAAGCATGGTAACATTTTCGTCCGTACTGTTAAAGTACGAAAGACTGAGCTCAGAGAGCAGATGTGTTGTGACTTGTATCCTGACAGTTAAATTGTTTCCGGTCTTTGTTTTTGCTGTACCAAGAGGGCAGTCATCGGGTCTATCGCCACCGCTCTCGCAGCCCACCTGATTCTGAGGGTACATTTTCACCACCCAGACAGGCTCATCCTGAGAAGAGGAGCAGTGAGTCATCAGGTCAGCTGCTGTGTAACTTCAGTTTCTGTACATTTCAGGCTGTATTTGGCTACTTAATAACAAATGCTGAAACCAAACTTTGTTCTGTCATCAACTGCCAACAGACTTGTATTTAGATAGTCAAAACCCATGACAGGTCACTTAAAAACAGAAGGTGCAGACTGTTTGAAATGGTTGCTGTCATTCACTACATCATGCTTATTATGTACAGTAGCAGCAGACAGTTTGTTTCAAATACTACCAACAAAATACCATCATCGGTCTCCATAACACTGATATATACAATAAGTAAGCTGCACAATTAGGCGTGGGACGGTATGAGATTATGACGGTATGATAACCTTGGGCAAAAATATCAGTTTTACGGAATGACGGTATTATGTTTACAGCTCTAAAAGTTTTGTTTTGAAATTTGCATTTAAAAACAAAAAAAAAAGAAAATAAATTTTCTATTATCGTATTCAACTTTAATTATCTTTGTTGGAAGCTGTTTCTAGATCTCAGAGGTGTTATGCTGAAATATTATTTACCTGTGTGCATCTGTACTTTGATTTTTAGCACCTAATGCAATTAGATTATCCTGATAAAGTTTACATCTAATAGGATAACTGATTCTCTATTGCTTTATTATTTAAGACAAATCAGTGTATACTGCACGACTAGTCTTTTTATTGAAGTAAAGTATCACGTTGGGAGTTTTTATTGTGTTTTAAATGACAAAGGGGTTTTTGACATAAAGATTATATAATTATATGCACACAGAAACAAGAAATCACAACTATGAATGTATGTTTATGAAATGCATGTTCATCTAACGAGCTGCTTGGCTAAAAGAGGCATCAGTTTTATCACTGTTCACTTAAAACTTATCAAAGACACAATCCAACAACTCAAACAGTTTTGCAGACAAGTTGTGATCAGCGCATTAAGCCACAGCAACACAGTGACATAATTCACAATCTGATGCTAATGTTAGCTCGTTCATTTCAAGATGGCATAACTTTACCTAGAGCTGTGATCATGTTAAATGTGTTGCCTCCACGGCCCACACTGCCGTTGTCTTTACGGCATCATAAATATTTTCATATAGCTGGATTTATTATTTTAGACAGGAGAAAAGTTTGGGGAACTCTGTTCTTCAGCCACCACCACACAACCCCTGCAAAGCTGTGAGTGCCGACAGGCAGTCTGCTGCAGGAGTGCGCAGGGGAAAGTGCAGCGGCACAGTCCAGAGGAAAAATAAACAAAAAAACGCTTATACCATAGGCACAGTATAACTGAAAATTTTAGTGGTTTTCAAACCGTGATTTTTTTCATATCACAGTATGCCTTGAAATCTGTATTTGGCCCATGCCAATGCACAATATTTAAAAAATGCCCGTCTGCCCATCAGTCAATTTATCAATCGGGGTTGGATTGTAGGGGCAATAGGTCCTAAAGGGAAACCCAGACTTTGTATTTCTAGCTCCTAATGGGGAATCCCAAGGCATTCCCAAAGCCTCCAGGGGTTTCCTCCTGTAGGAGGTGCCAGAAAACCTCAAAAGGGAAGTGGAGGCAGGAGTCATCCTGATCAAATGGCAAATTCACCACAACTGACGCCTTTCAATATGAAGGAGCAGCAGCTCTACTTGGATTTCCCACCAGACAATGGAGCTCCTCATCTTCTTATTTATAAGAGGAAGAGAATTTCAGCTGTTTTTGTTCAGGATGTTGTTCTTTCTGCGATGATACATACCTCATGATCATAGGTGGTGGTT